ATGCCCCAATAGGCGTTCCACCAGAGCCTGGCATCACCGGTGAACTGAAGCTGAGCGCAAATCACGCGATATCTCTCAGGGCACTCCATGACCTCGAAGATAAACTCCATACCCTGAATCCACTCGTCAACTACGCGTGGATCTCCCTGCCCTGAAAACTTTTCGGCGTGATAGTCGCGGAACTGGGCGACCACTGTAGCCTGAGTTGGTGCCATCTGAATCATTGAAAAAGTTCAAAATTATTGAACACATGATGATATTCTTACTGATTACTACGGCACACAGATCTCTTGACGAGTTGCCAGAAATGGCCGATGAATACTGACATGAAACCTGAGGAACTCTAGAGTCATATCAAAAGATACTAAAGTCTAGAGTCATATCTGAGCGTACTGATTTCTAAAGTCAAGTCTGAATGCACTGATTTCTAGAGTTATATCCGAACCCCAAAATCTGAATCTGAATCGAGCATCTTAATTAAGTCTGATTACTGATTTCTGAGCATAGACAAAGTAATATGTTTATAACTGGAAAAACTGAATCAGCACTTACCTGGAGTCGGCGAGGTGTGAGCGTGACGGTTCAGGTTTTTATGAAAATTTTTGACTGAAAAACTTTTCAGAGACGCAAAACCTGGGCTCTGATACCAAGTTGTAACACCCCGACTTTCTATTACATCAGAGTACGCAATTTTTCGCAATTTTCTGAATAAATAAATAAAATACTTAATTTTGCAAAAACTGATTCGGGGGCTACCGTGAAAAAAACTTAATTTCTGAAAATCGTTAAAGTTTAAATTGATACATAAAACAAACAGTCATAATGTCTTATCCGACTAACGTCGGATCAAAGTCTGATAAAAGTACTGAAAGTTTAGCGGAAGTCTAGCGTGGCAAAAACATAAAATACATTATTCATAAATGCCCTGAACAGCTCGCCCGCTCACTCCTCATCTTCGACCCTGCGACCTGAAAAACATGAAAGGTGTGGGGCGTGAGCACTAAAACACTTGTGCTCCGCAGAAACTCATGCTAATGTAAAACATCGTAAATAATAACAATATCATG